AAGGTAAGGAGACAAGTGGACCAGCAAGTACTATGTGGAGACCTCTGACCCGTAGAAAGAATGGAAGTGAGCACATCATTAGACGCATTTATGTCAAGCTCAAGGTGCTGCCTTCATAGTATGCCCTTAGTTGGACAGCCTGCAGGATTGGCAGGCAGCACTTTTTGGGCATGTTCACCCCTTTTGGAATGTCTTGTCACGTGATTCGTGCCAGTGGCACACCCTTTTACCCTGCCCATTGACTTCCTGCTTCACTGGACACTGCTGTTAGGGGTTATGGATTTACTTGAAAGATGAAAGCATAAATTAGAGAGAAATTAGCATAGAGTATGTGTTTTCTTATAGCTGCATCCTATGAGTTTCCCTCCAGCACCATCTCCATCAGATACATGACGCTTGGGAGGTATGATTGTTTTAGTGTTTTTGGTCGATAAAATTCCGTAATTAGGCCCATCATAATTGTCAGCACCAGGCCCACTGTGCTCTTAATCCGGCCCTGGCTATATATAGATATATAGAGAGATATTTTCATTACTCATACCAATATACAGTATAGCAACACTACCAGGAATATACCAAAGAAAATGCCAGGAGCGGAACATGCAACCTTGAGATCTGAACAGTGAACGTATTCTAATTTGGTATATTAACCAACCACGCTATTTCACTCGCTAACTGGTGTACATAGTATTTTACAGGGTTTATTGCAGTAAAGATGAGATAGATGAGTAAGTGCAGTAGTTACACTGTGTATGTATATTTAATTTATATAGGAGTAATTTACATACTCCCTAACATTGGAATCCTGAGAAGCGTAACACCGGTAGGAGGTGCGTAATTGGGCTTGGTCAGTGATTCAACTGCGTCGCTGGCTCTGCCCAAAGGGGGCGGACCTCCCTGAACCAGGGCGAGTCTGCCTAAATTACTGGCAGGTCAGTCTTTCATTAATGCACCCCCTGCAGAGACCACAGTTTCACTGCTTTGCGTAGTACAAACGTGTCTAATGATATGCTTGCACTGCGCTTTTTGGGAACAGTTTCCTGGTGGTCATAGAAGGGGGACACCAAGAAACAAATTTGGGACAGCAGGACAAAAACAGAAAGTTGGGACTATCCTGCAAAAATCAGGACTGTTGGAAGGTATGTATTTAGCTCTGTACAGGTTACATTACACTAGAGCAGGGGTTCCCAATTAATTTTTCCAGTGGAACCCTTTGACATAGTGAATCAACACCCCCTCTGAGCCCTGGTAAAAAAAAATTAAATTGTGCCGTTTTTTGTATGTGCCAGTGTGTCTGTGTGTCAAGGTGTGTGTATCTGTGTTTGTATGTACCAGTGGGTGTATCTGTGTGTCAATGTGTATCTGTGTGTGTGTGTGTATGTATCTGACACACAGATACACACACACACTGGAACATAGTGGCACACAGATACACACACTGACACACGGTGTGTGTCTGTGTGTGTGTATGTATGTATGTATCTATCTATCTATCTGTGTGTTGTGTGTGTATCTGTATTTGTATTTGCCGGTGTGTGTCTGTGTATCAATGTGTGTGTATCTGTGTTTGTATGTGCCAGTGTGTGTATCTGTGTGTCAGTGTATATGAATCTGACAAACAGATACACACACACACTGGCAAACAGATACACACACTGAAACACAGTGTGTATCTCCGTGTGTGTATGTATCTGTGTGTCAAAGTGTGTGTATCTGTGTTTGTACATACCAGTGTGTGTGTGTGTGTGTGTATGTATCTGACACACAGATACACATAGTGGTACACAGATACACACTGACACACACAGATACGCATCCATACACTCAGATATACACATTGAGACATACACACAGTGTCATATACACACACTGACATACACACACACACACACAAAGACAAATACAAACACACTGATATACACTGGCACATACACACACACACCCCAATACAAACATACTGACACACACACACTCAGATACACACAGTGACACATACAGAAACCTTGACACACAGATACACACACTCAGACACATGTTCTCTTTGACAGACACACATACAAACACATATACACTCTCATTGACTAGCACACATACATTCTCACTGATAAACACACACACACACACTCACTGACAAGCACACATATACTCTCACTGACAAACACACATATACTCTTTGACAGACACACAAACACATCCAAGCTCCCTAAAAGACACACATAATTTTTTTTTTTTTAAATGTAAATTTTACTCCACACAGCCTCCCTACCTTTCGGGGTGTTGGTTTAGAGTCTCTATGTCCCTGTGGTCCAGTGGGGTTGCTGGGCGTGCGGTCCCTGGGGTCCAGTGGGGCTGCTGAGCGGCTGGTGGGCAGGTGGCAAGGGAGCAGTGATCTTCCTGCTCAGCTCCCTCACGCGACTCTTAGTGATGCTGGAGTTACATCATATTCCGGCTCCGGCATCACTGCGGTGCGCGCGAGGTAGCTGAGCCGGGGAGAGTGCTCCCTCACTGCCCGCGGCCATTTTGTTTTACAAAATTTTGGCCAAACCCCAATTGGAAACGCTGCACTAGAGAAAAGTACAGTAAGTGCAGTAGGTACACAATGTACATACAGTATATTTTATTTATATAGTTGTAGCAGGAGTGATCTTGCAGGTTACATTACACCAGTGACAGGTACAGTGAGTGAAGTTCTCATTTTGAAATCAGTTGCTAAGGAAGGCTTGGGTTATGGTACTTAAAGTGTTCTTTTATTGTAGGAAGGGCCCCGGTCCAAAGATTTTACAATCTAAGAAGACAAAAAGCATGTGCAACAATGAGGAGCTACGGGTCAGAGGTCTCCACCTGCTACCCCATTTTCCATCTCTGGCAATTAACAAAACTGACACTATTATATACTATGAGTTACAGTAAAAAGTTTAACGATAGTTAACAGGAGAGTTTCTGCTGTGATCATAAACTCACACAGCACAGCGTTTCGCCGGAGTGGGTGGGAGATAACTCAAAATTATCGGCAATTATTTCAGAAAAAAATACATACTTCAGGGGTAGATTAGTCAAAACTCCTTTCTGAGATGATCGGCAATGATTTCAGAAAAAAATACATACTTCAGCAGTGAATTCTGATTAATATGGAAAATACATTTTACGAAGGCTTGTGTAAAGTGCATGAAATGCGTCAGATTATCTCACCATCCCCTCGATGTCCATAGCACTGATTTAATTTTTTTTAGCTTATAAAAAAAATTTGTTTTTTAATACCTATTCCTCAATGAATGCTGGTTTTATTAGCATACCTGTTCAGGGCTACAACTATTTATCCGAAGCATTGCATATGGAGGAGGAGACCTCAAAGCAAGTTGCCTAATTTTAGAAGAATTTCCTTGTCTACCTTTCTCACTCCCCCTTTCTAACAGCCATCATTCTATCCCTTAGGTGAGACTGTCAGTAACCCCAGCCAATGACTGCTGTTTTGCAATAGTTTTTTGCTTTTCAAAATCGCCTGGAAAAAAAAAGAAGTAATATTTGCAAAAAAAGTGACAGATCAGCAAAAACTAACAATCTGACCAAACCCGCAGTAAACTGGATGTCACAGAGGGGGAGTGGGAAACTCAAGCAAGTGAGTTCTTCAAAATTGTCCATGTAGAAGAGATGGTATATTAAGGATTATATTAAAGGAACACTCTAAGCACCATAATCACCACAAAACACTGTAATGGTCATGGTGCCAGGAGAGTCCAATTGCCCTCTCAGTATAAGTAGCCACATCGTTTGAGTTCCTTTCATCTCCTACCCTGGCACAATTACCATAACAGCAGCTTGTAGTGGTTGTGATCAGGGCTGGCCTTAGGGGTGTGCGAGCTGTGCGGCCGCACAGCCGGCCGGGATTTAAAAAAAAAAAAAAATTGTGGTGGGGCAGAGCTTCCCAGGTGGCGGGGTGGAGCTTCCCAGGCGGCGGGGGCAGAGCTTCCCAGGCGGCGGGGGCAGAGCTTCCCAGGCGGCGGGGGCAGATCTAAAAGTGCCGGATAAGTGCTGCAAGGGAAGCAGGAAGGAGTCCCTGCTTCCCCCAACAACCAGTCTCCAGGAGCTGCACTGCCTCCACAATGAACAGAGGTAACTATGTGATTGTCAGAGTGAGTGTGAGTGTCTGCCTGTGTGTCTGTGTGTGTGACTGTCTGCCTCTGTGTGTGTGTGTATGACTGTGTGCCTGCCTGTGTGTGACTGTCTGCCTCTGTGTGTGTGTGTGTGTGTATGTGACTGTCTGCCTGTGTGTGTGTGTCTGTGTGTATGACTGTCTGCCTGCCTGTGCGTGACTGTGACTGTCTGCCTCTGTCTGTGTCTGTGACTGTCTGCCTCTGTGTGTGTGTGTGAGAGAGAGACTGTCTGCCTGTGTGTGTGTGTCTGTGTGTATGACTGTCTGCCTGCCTGTGTGTGACTGTCTGCCTCTGTATGTGTCTGTGACTGTCTGCCTCTGTGTGTGTGAGACTGTCTGCCTGTGTGTGTGTGTGTGTATGACTGCCTGCCTGTGTGTGACTGTGACTGTCTGTCTCTGTGTGTGTCTGTGACTGTCTGCCTCTGTGTGTGTGTGTGAGAGAGAGAGACTGTCTGCCTGTGTGTGTGTATGATAGTCTGCCTATGTGTGTGTGTATGTGTATGACAGTCTGTCTCCTGTGTGTGACTGTCTGCCTCTGTGTGTGTCTGTGATTGTCTGCCTCTGTGTGTGTGTGTGTGTGTGTGTGAGAGAGACTGTCTGCCTGGCGGTGTATGACTGTCTGTATGGCGGTGTATGACTGTCTGCCTGTGTGTGTTTGTGTGTGTGTGTCTGTGTGTATGACTGTCTGTCTGTATTTGTATGTGTGTGACTGTCTGCGTGTGTGTGTGTGCACACGTGACTGTCTGCCTATGTGTGTGTGTGTGTGTGTTTGTGTGGCTGTCTGCCTGTTTGTGTGGCTGTCTGCCTGTGTGTGTCTGACTGTCTGCCTCTGTGTGTGTGTGTATGTCTTCCTGTGTGTGTGGATGGCCGCCTGCCTCTGTGTGTGTGTGTGTGTGTGGCTGTCTGCCTGCGTGTATGCGTGTGGCTGTCTGCCTGCGTGTATGCGTGGGTTTCTGCCTGTGTGTGTGTGTGTGGCTGTCTGCCTGTGTGTGTATGTATGTAGCTGCCTGTGTGTGTGTGGCTGTGTGTGTGTGTGTGGTGGTCTGCATGTAAGTATGTGTGTGTGAGACTGTATGTGTGGCTGTGTGTGTGTGTGTGTGTGTGTGTTAAACTGTATGTGTGGCTGTGTGTGTGTGGCTGTCTATCTGTAACTGTATATGTGTGTTACTGCCTTTACCTGTGTGTTTCTGCCTGATCCTGTGTATGTGACTATCTGCCTGCGACTATGTGCATGTGGTGGATTTGACAGTGTATATGTATAACTGTGTGCATCTGACTGTGAGAATGTGTGGACATAACTCTGCAAAAATTTACACCTGCATTCACACACAGGCCTAAATGCATGTTTTTATCTGAATTAAATAATCATCACACACAGCCAATAAACCCAGCACAAATATCACATACAACCAATACACGCATATCACACACTGTTAATACACCCATTACAAATGTCACACACAGCCAACACATAGCATACATATCACACACAGTCATCACATTTATCACAGACAACACAAACATTACATAATACATGGATGACAGAGGGGAGGAGGGGTGCTGTGAACATTTTTCGCACAGGGCGCCTAAAGGCCTAAGAGCGGTCCTGGTTGGACATTTACAGATATATACCGGTATATATATATATATATATATATATATATATATATTTAATACATTCCTAAACACAAATACACACACCAGTCAAGCCATAAGACTTGTTTTTCCCACAGAAATCTCACTTTAACAGTACTCTCACTACTGCAAGGGATTCTGGGTATATATATAGATATATATATATAGCTACTGTAACAAAATTAAAAAAATATTTTTATCTGAAAGTTTCTCTATAAGTCATACCACTTCCTCTTTGTGACTAAGATGACTTTTCTCTGTGATTCTCTGCCAGCTTTCATTACAAAACGGTTGTGAATGACTTTCACATCCGGTACTGACCGCTGTCAGGATCACTTCCGGGCCTTTCCTAAATAGCTGCTGAATGTGTTGCTTGCCAAGCAGTCCTGTCTGCTCCCTGCCCTGACTTAACTTTGCAGTAGTCTGAGGGTTCAGATCCCAGGTCAAGGCAGAGTTAAAAACAACTTCATGTTTCTCCTCTTAACCTCAAATTAAGCTTTGCCCACAGCAATGTGCCAGGCTTAGTCACTGGAGCTTTACATTATGGATAAAGAATAACTATTATTAAATTTTTAAAAAAAATATCTTAAAGGAATACTGGAAGCATCACAACCAGGGCCGCCCTTAGGCCTTTAGTCGCCCTGTGCGAAAAACTTGCCCCTCCTCCCCCCTGTCATCCATGTATTATGTAATGTTTGTGTTGTCTGTGATAAATATGATGACTGTGAAATGGACCTAAAAAATCAAGAATCCTTTCATTGCCAGACCTATAATAGCTTGAGTGTCTTCTTGAGCTAAAGGCATCGATCAATAAGGTGTGTTATTTCTTTGGATCTCCAAGTCAGCCCGCTAAAGAACATCTGTGTATTATGATGAAAAAAGATGACATAAAATATGAAATAAATAAATATAAAATGAATTCAAAGCCTTTTGGAGCTTATGTGTCCAGATCCAAAAACACCTCACTTCTCAGAAGCTTCTGGATCCTATCTCCTCCTAGTCGTGGTTCTTGAATATGTTCAATGGCAATACATTTCATTGAAGGGAACTGGTGTCTTGCTTCCAAAAAAATGTTGAGCTACCGGCTTTTCAGAAATCGTACCCCAAATCCTATCATCTGATTGATGAGCAGTTCCTTCTTACGCGCTCCCATAGTTTATTTGAAGTTTGTTGAATATAATGTAACCCACGAGGGCATGAGATTCTACGTACTATATATGTGTCGTCGTACAAATAATACATACTCTGATTTTTCCTGAAGGTAAATGGGTAGAAGTTTTTGATCGAAATCATATTTAATGTTTTATAGATATATATATTCAGACCCCTTCATTTCAATCTACACTCAATATCTCACGATGTCAAAGCAAAAACAAATAGATTTTTACAAATATATTAAACTGCAAAAATGGAAATATTAAATTGGACCTTGACTCGGTTAAATGATGCACCTTGGCAGTGATTACAGCCTCAAGTCTTTTGGATATGATTTCCAGGTAGTTTCTGCCATTCATATTTACAGATCCTCTCAAACTCTACCAGGATGAATGGAGACTGTCAAAGGCCAGTCATTTTCGCAACTTTTTAGAGATGGTCGATTGTATTCAAGTCCAGACTGTGGTTGGGTCACTCAAGAAGATTCACCGAGTTGTTCCCGAGCCACACTTGAGTTGTCTAGGTTCTCTGCATATGATCATTGTCTTGTTGGAAGTTTGACCTTCAACCCAGTCTTAGGCCCTGAGAGTACCGGACCGGGCTTTCATTTAGGATATCTTTGTATTTTGCTGCGTTCAACTTTCCCTCAAGCCTCACCAGTCTCCAAATCCCTGACTCTGAAAAACACTCACAAAGCACAATGCTATCACTAACCTGCTTCACTGCTTCACAGTTCAATCTTCATTTCATCAGAGCAGAGAATCTTGTTTCTCACCATCTCAATGTCCTTTGCATACTTTTTTGCAAATTCCAAGCAGACGTTTATGTGTATTGCAGTGAACAGAGGCAAGATCGGTGGATTGTTGCAATTGTATTTGTCCTTTTGCAAGTTTCTCCTATTTACACACATGACCTATGGAGCACATCCACATTGACCATTGGGCTTTTGGTCACCTCTTTTACCAAGGCCCTTTTCTCCCGTTTACCCAGTTTGGAAGGGTGGCCAGCTCTCAGTAGAGCCCTGGGTGTTACAATTTTCTTCAATTTAACAATTGTTCAACTTTACCATCCTTAGTTAAAGTGATTTACACATCTACAGGTATATGCTTTAGGCATTGGAAGAATAACCTGATTATTAATCAAATAATGTCTGTTTAATCAAACAATTGTGTCCTAATACTGGGTAATGTATTTATTTATTCATTTAGCCTTGATGATGACGTCACTAATTTGCAGTTCCGATTAAAATGTGTACTCATGTGTATCTGATTTAAGGCGATGGAATTTATGACCACAGATAAGTTTATCTACGGTAATTAGTTAGCAATTTTCCCATAGGCTTTAATGGGAAAATTTTAATTCAATTACCAGAGATAAACTTAGCTTATGTCATAGAAAACAGCTACACGTTGTTTAAAATGAACATTCCAGGCACCAACATGCCTCATGCGTTTTGTAGCCTTTTGGTCTAAATAATAAAGTTGTATATTTTGTATGCCCAGCATGTTAACTTTTTGCAAAACAAAAACATTTATTTTGTAGCATTCTGCATGCTAACTCTCCTCAATATCACATCCACTACTAGAAAGGTGCTTTCTCATACAGTTTTCTGATTTTGGAAGCTGGTGATAGGCTGAGTGCCACTGCTGATGCTCTCATCCCATCGTCAGCTTCAGGTGCGCAGGTTCTTTACTGACGCCTTGGACTTCACCAAAACAAGAGGGGCATAGCGTACAGGCACCATCTACACAACTTTGGGGGTTAAACTGTTCATATATGGCTTAACTCCATAAGGTAAGACATCCCCCAGGACCCCTAGGCACCATGTCAACTTCACTTTGCTGAAGTTGTTATAGTGCACAAAGTGTTCCCTTAATCATGGAGATTGTTCCATCCCACACTAGCACAGTTTGTGGCTTAAATAGACGTTGTTTGAAGTTTTGCCACTGAGATAAATTATTGTAGTTGACATGAAGTCTGGGACATTTCAGTAGACTGATGCCAATGTAAATTAAAAAACAACTTCTCTGTTTATAACGGAATTCATTCTTAAAGTGGCACTGTCATATTTCTTTTTTTTTCAGTTTCCCCTATCCTTATACACCTTGTATCTTAATAATTATACTCCCCTGTTACTTACCTTTATTGATCATTATTATCTTTTATTCCCTATATCTTAGTGTCTCCGTTCTGTTCTCCTCTGTCCATGATGCTTGTGGTGTGCCCTTCTGTGGGTGAGTGCCTGAAGTCTTGTAAAAATGCACAGAACAAGGCACCCATTCTGTTTCCTGAATTGTGAGACAGACATCCAGGACAGAGGTAAGTAAATCCTTTAAACATATCTGACCAATTGAGTGTGAGTAAATTAGCTTGGCATTGGACACATAACATTGCTTTAAAAACACCCATTGCCCACAATTGCCAAAAATCACACTCTACACACGAAAAAGTACTTTACTTTTTCTTATCTTCTAATCTGAAAATAAATAAATAAAATGAAAGTAAGGGGAAATAGAGGGACACAAAAATAAATAGATACATTTTATATTTTATATACATTTCTATATAATTTCTATATAAATATATCATTTATTTTTCTTTGTTTGTTTTTATTTATGTACGTAAAATCCTACAAATTGACACTATTGCTTTAAGCAAGACTTTGCAAAACTTAAAGGACCACTATAGTGCCAGGAAAACAAACTTGTTTTCCTGGCACTATAGGGTCTTTAGGTCCCCCTCACCCTCAGGGTCCCACTCCCGCTGGGCTGAAGGGGTTAAACACTTACCTTTCTCCAGTGCTGGGCTCCCTCTGCGCTGGGGAACTCTCCTCCCTCTCCCGATATCAGCGTCAAATGCGCATTCAATCAGTCCATAGGAAATCATTTCTTAATGCTTTCCTATGGACGCTGGCGTCTTCTCACTGTGATTTTCACAGTGAGAAGCGTAGAAGCGCCTCTAGCGGCTGTCAGTGAGACAGCCACTAGAGGCTGGATTAACCATAGTGTAAACATTGCAGTTTCTCTGAAACTGCTATGTTCACAGCTGCAGGGTTAACACTAGATGGACCTGGCACCCAGACACTTCATTAAGCTGAAGTGGTCTGGGTGCCTATAGTGGTCCTTTAGGCAAAAAAAAAAAAAAGCTTTCAACTTGGCTATAGTCACAGCTCAGCCATCAACCGGCATTTGACTACAATTCACCATTCAATGTAGACCAGGCTTGAGAGAGCACTTTAAAGGGAAACTGTCATGATTTACCTGGCCATCCG